GATGGGGCGTTACAAACGCTCACTAAATTGAATCAGGCATGTCAGCCAGCACCCTGGTAGGGTGCGATTTGGCTGCAAATAAAAATTTCTGTTTCGGCCCCCAAAGGCTCACATGGGCCGCTAAGGGCCATGTAATACGTTTTATTTTAATAATTAGAAAAATTAACCAAGGTTAGATTATTAACTGGGATGTTTCTTTTTGTCCGTAAAAAAATCCAAACAGTTTCGTCACTTTGCGAATGATGTGATTAGCATATTTTTTTAGACAATCCAATCAGAAATTGAGATCGAGCATCTAATAATAGACAATTAGTAACGCTAACATATTGCATCAGTCACACTGATGTTTAAAACACGTCAAATAATTTGTTTACGTGTTAAAGAAAAAATCCTGTTAATTTTGTCACTTTAGAGAGTGACGCAATCTGCATCATTGTTAACAGGGTGCTATTTGGCACTCTGGGTTATCCTATGCGGTAGTGTAATCGGGGGAGGGGGGGGGGGGGGAAAGGGGGGGCTCCTGAGAGTGCCCCTCTACATCCCTGACACATGGGTGGTCACCGAAGTGTGTTCTACCCAGTGGCGTGCAGAGCTATGTTGCTGCCCGGGGCAAACCCAAAGGAATATGCCCCATAAATTGTATATATATATATATATATATATATATATATATATATATATATATATATATATATATATATATATATATATATAAATTACGGTGTTAAAAGCGTTAGTAGCCCTACAATTGACGATAAATTATAACACACATTATGTTATTAATCAGAATACGAATAGAAAAGCATTTTAAAAAATTGACTTAGCTGAACTCTTGAGAAGACTCCATGCATATATATCCAAAAGAATGACTGACTCATTCGGGGAGGGAGAAAACAGTTTGGGGACATGTCGGATGTTGGGGGGGGGGGGGAGGGGCTATATGCCAAGCCCAACAAAAGAGTTTACAGTTTCCATTACCCTACCGGGGTCGGGCTGCGGTCACCGTTGAATTAAATTGGAAAAAAACTAAAAGGTCAAAGTTCGCCATTGTTTATTGCTACGACTGAGGCCACGGTTGATGTTAGGCCTAGTGAGTTAGCCCCCCCCCCCCATCTCGAACTTGAACAATGCTGTATTTTATAGAAACACATTAGTGTCACATCTCGTGTGCAGGGAAGAGAACCACGGTCGCCGGGTGATTGTTTGGTGGCCGGCGATGGGTCGATTGAGTGAGCCCTTCCCCCTCCGCCTCCACCCCCTTGTACCTGGTATTTAAATTTGGGATACCCTATTGTATTCTGACCAATGTAGGTGTATTTTTTTTTGGATGCCTGTACTAGTTACGGACCTAAAAAATGCTAGTCTTGTCTCGTACGTCGAAGTAGTCGGATACGTAGGAATAAAGCGTCTCGTCTTAACTCGATACATTGAGAAAATATCGATTCTAGTCATAGAGCACAGCGATTTCTGCGTGTGCGCATTGTCGATGTTTGATATAATTTTAGTATCGCTAAACTTGGGGCCCGCACTTAATGGTCGGCTCTAGGCCCCAAGTATTCATATGCAAACCCTGTGTGGGAATTAATCCAGTAACGGCTACCAGGGTCGTTATAACTCCCACAATTCATTAAATCAACGTGGACTCACTTACTTTACAGGTGGCTCTACTATTTATAACATCAGTTCTATTTAAGCGCCCATTTACTTTACAGATAACTTTACTTTGCATTAAAATACTTTAACACAACTTTTAGTATGCCCTACAATTAATAAAAAATAAAATGGGCACAATTGTTTGAAATGATATCACTACAATGTATATTAAAAATCTGTTGATGCTTATTCTTGAGGGTGTCCTTACAGTGTCTCAGAAACAATACGGACATTCTTATTGTTTTGTATATTCATATGCATCAAAACCGAATAAATTCTCTTGGGTGCCCCTACAAGTTATCTAAAAATAATACGGGCTTACTTCATCTGCAAATGCCCTTTTAATCACAAGCAAAAATAAAATAAATTATTCGAAAATCGCTCTAATGCAATAAAGTGGTTTAAATTGTTCGTTGGCCAGTGGTTAGAATAAAAGTCATGCGTTTAGGTATATTATATAAAGAGACAGTGTTAGTAAGCACACAATTTTAGACAAATTACAATATCAACAAGCATTAGTGGTTAAAATTAAAACAAATAGGAAAACAGTAGATGCTTTGGCTTTGGGGTGGGTGAAAGTTGGGGGGGGGGGGGGGGAGGTGAAAGATCACGCAGACTGTGCATTTAAATGTATGGATCTCTGGCCGTGCCAATAGAGCGTCCAGGTATTACATTACCGGTCTTACAATAGGAGGTTTGTGCCTAAAGTGAGGGTGGGGGGGAACAAGTGACAGCCAGCTACACCTTATTTATGTGTTTTTGGACAGTACGACCGGGCGGCCGCGAATGCCGGTAATTAAGAAGTGTGAGACTTAAGGACAACTTTAGAATGAAGTTAACCAGAGTTTCTTCCAGGCATCTCTTCGGGGGGGGGGGGGGCGAAGCCCCCCCCGAAAATTTTTTACCGCCCCCCCCCCCCCCCCCGAACGAAATGAAATTTATATAATTTATATAGAAAATACATACTTTTAACAGTGTCCGCCCCCCGAAGAAAGTCTACCGCCCCCCCGAAAATTTCAAGTGCCCCCCCCCCCCCCGGAGAAAAAAGTCTGGAAGAAACACTGAAGTTAACTCGGCCCGGCCCAGTGTATCAAAACAGTACGGACTTGAAAGTTTGTATTTAACCGTACACAAAAATCCAAATGGCCATGAATAAAGAATATCATTAGAATAAGAAAAAACCAAGAGGCTGTGTGCTTAATCAGTCTACGAATGCCGTTACGTCCATCAAAATGAATAAGGATGCCCTACAAACATTATGCAATGAATAGAAACATAATAAAGATGCCCGATAAAATATGAAGCGAACAAGGGCATAATTACTGTAGGGATGCCCTTCAGACATTCAATAATGAATATAAGCATAATAAATATCCGATAATATATAAACGAATATGGGCATAATTGCTGTAATTATATAAATACAAACGTGAATACAAGTAAATTACTTTAAAGATACCCTGACGATATATAAAATGAATGCGGGCATAATTACTGTTTGGATGCCCTTCAAAAGTATTATGATGAATATAAGCAAATTACATTAAAGATGCCCCTACAGTGTGTAAATTATAATCATGGACTTTAATACTCTATGGATGACCACAAGTGTGTAAATTGATTATGGGCGTGTTCTCTAAAAGATGCCCCTACAGTGTGTAAATTATAATCATGTGCTTTAATACTCTATGGATGACCACAAGTGTATCAAATGATTATGGGCGTGTTCTCTAAAAGATGCCCCTACCGTGTGTAAATTATAATCATGGGCTTTAATACTCTATGGATGACCACAAGTGTATAAAATGATTATGGGCGTGTTCTCTAAAAGATGCCCCTACAGTGTGTAAATTATAATCATGGGCTTTAATACTCTATGGATGACCACAAGTGTATAAAATGATTATGGGCGTGTTCTCTAAAAGATGCCCCTACCTACACAAGTATCAGATACTCTATTAATTGAAAGACTGCATACATTTATTCGGGGAAAATCAATGACTACTACACCACTACCCTTCACCGATGCCCCTTTCTCCCTGAAGGTTGTATGACACTGACAGTACGATGACTATATCAGTGCCATGTGTTGATTGTATATACACATTTCGGTGAATTCGGAAAATTGTGATAATTTGATAATTCTGCCAAACCTTAGTAGACATTTAGCTTCCCTAAAAAAAAAAAAAAAAAAAAAATCATTTTTTTTACCCCCTTTGGATGCCCCTTTGATGTGGCTGCCCGGGGCCTGGGCCCCCTCCGCCCCCCCCCTCTGCACGCCACTGGTTCTACCTCATTATTTTGGTGAGTAATTAATGTACACTCAAGGTTTTTCAACCCAATATTTATGATCCAAGCGCAGGCATTGTTTACATTTAAATAACTCACTTTTAGAAAACAAGGTTACGCGTCTAAGAATATAGGATTGGTAAAGCATGGATGAAACCCTTCTTATATATTTTGTTGGACTTTCGTCTATTCCCGTGGCAACGCGTGGGGGCGGATACGCTAGTGTTGCTATAAGCTGTTTTGTTACTTTAGTTTAATTTTCATCACTTCTTTTCTCTATATTGGTCTTTGCTTTTCTCGCCATGCTTTCCTCAATATCCCCACTTTTCAATATAAGCCTTTCAAAAAAAGATTACACAAGCAGGTTTCTTTTTCTTCTCTATCAGAATGTTGTGTTAGCTACATGTCACTGAATAGCTCAGTTGTATGATCAGTTAAAACTTTTGAGAATGTTTCTTTTCCACAAACTGTTAAACCTGCGAATCAGGTTACTCATAACTCAAAGTTTGCTTGTATGTCGAAGCAAATTTTAGCCCATTCGACAGCGCTTATATCATAAATCTATTATGTCGGGGCACTCATATGTCAAGGTACCACTGAATTAAGAAATTTTTTAGAAATCAGAGATAGCATAAAACACTCATTCTGGTTACCAGAAATAGCCAACAAGCCTGCATAAATCTATGTACATGAGCTGATATGTAAGTATAAAATTTTGTAGTACTCAAGTTATCACGTTCCCACAGAAAAAGAGTATAGCACCACTTCTGATAACTGGAAATTGTTGAAAAGTTAATTGAAATTTGGGCATACAATCTAATACTTATCTGTTAACTTTCATCCTCCTAACTTAAACAGTAATAAGTTATAGGCTTTTGAGAAACCAGAAGTAAAGTAAGTAGGCTATCATTTCCAGTTACAGGAAATTGCTCAAAAGTTCATAGAAAACTACAAATTTGTTATCATACTTACAAACTTACATAATGTAATTTCATCAACCTAAATGATATGGTACACAAGTTATTTTGAATTTTTATTCTAGTTTCATAATCACTCACCAGGACTGGTTCATGTTCATACTCCAATCTAAGCAGGGGGTTTATGTGCTGGATTTTCCAAAAACAATTAAATGACTTTTCAGCTGTCAGATGCACTACTTGATGTCGAGCCTTTTCAGTGCATTGACTGAAGCGTTTAACATCGGAGAACACAAATAGCTAAAAAAAAAATGAATACAGTGATTGTTATACACCTGATGGAAGAAAAATTGTAAACAATTGGTCCTAACATTTATATTTTTGCTTCATGCAAACTTTCACCAAGTGTATTGCCAATTTACAGAACATGACTAAATGTAAAGTGGAAATAAGTCACACATCTAGTGGGTATACATATATATATATATATATATATATATATGGACTGTGTAAGTGACTTATAGTAGTTATGCATGTAGTAAAAACAAATTGATCAGTATTGTGCATTAATCTTCAGGTAATTTTGTGCAGAAATCTAAGTTTTTGTCTAGAAAAATAAATATTTTCATTTATAAAATATGTGTTGATTTTTTGACACAATGTTTTAATATATGTAAAGTGGAAAGAACAAACCCAATCTAAATTTATTACCCTTTACAAAAAATAATAATTTATCTCAAGATTTTTAAAATCTACTTCCCTTTTACATGGCAGATGATTTAAAAAAATTAAAAATACATTAGAAAAATTCTAATTTGTGTTTAAATTTACATTTATGTTTGTGGTTGAAGTTGTGGTGAGGATTATGGTTTATGTTTATTGTTAAGTTTATGTTTGGGGCTAGGATTAAGTTTAGTTAGGCTTACGGTTATTTGTATATATATTCTCAAAGTCCCTGTTTGCGTATAGACAAATAAATTTTTTTATACTATCCCAAAAATACTGGGCAGAATCGGGTAAATGATGCTTAATAAACACAAGTCACTGTCCTGTTCAGGTAAGTTTTTCACAATTATTTTATTTATCTATCTATCTATCTCTATCTACCTGTCCACCTGTATATGTCTATCTCTGTCTCTCTCTCACTCTAAACTGATCAAACTTTAAATTATATATACATAAACATAATTAAATCCATTTATAACTATTTACTAAAGAATACCTCTCCTGATTCGGAGGCTGCGGTCATCAAATAGAATGGTTGACCATAGCGCAGCTTGTCTCCAATGTTAACAGAATCAGATGATCTGAGAAATTAGAATAAAAGTTAGTTTAAAACAGTTCGAATAATAATTTCATAATGTAATTCTATTAGCAGAAGTAAACTACTTTTGCTTTTATTGGGATTAATTTTAAACAGCAAGTTGCTATTTGGCTCCTAGAGCTGCCCAGTTAGCAATATGGCTCCTACGTTTTTAAAAAATGCAATACACTATGGATCCTGTGGCCTACTATAATTTACTAGGCAAGCTGCCCAGCTTCGCTTTGGCTTTCGAATGAGAATTTGAATGCTTAATTAATTTGCCCGAGGGTCGGTCTACGACCTCAAGAGTTATGAAGAGGTTCTTACGTGGACAATTTTTTTTCGATTTATAGCTCATATAAGGCGCCGGTCAGCAGTGTTTCTTCCAGACTTTTTTTCCAGGGGGGCACTTGAAATTTTTGGGGGGGCGGTAGACTTTCTTCGGGGGGGCGGACACTGTTAAAAGTATATATTTTCTATATAAATTATATAAATTTCATTTCGTTCGGGGGGCGGTAAAATTTTTTCGGGGGGGCTTTGTTCCCCGCAGAGATGCCTGGAAGAAACTCTGCCGGTCAATCAAGGTCAGTTTTGACCCCCTCATCGTAGACTTTTTGGCCAACCGGCCGCCATGTTCTGTCGCCCCAAGGCAAGATCCTGCCAAATTTGAAGCGCCTGCGGCGCCGGAAAGTGCCCTGTCGGGCACCTGACTACTTTGCTTTATATATATTATAGAGATTAGCAAATTGCATAGATAAACAAAGATTTCAATAAAGTAATTAAGGCCTGAAATACTTTAGTATAGAAATGTATTATCTGAATAGATTCTAGATCTAGGTAGGGTCTACATCTGTGTAAGTCTAGTTTTCCGTAGATCTAGAATCTAGATCATCTAGAATATCTAGAATATCTATTATCTAGATCTAGAATCCTAATTGAATTTTTTTTTTTTAAGTTTAGCCAGAGCAAAATTGTATTGTATAAATTTTATAGCGTACGTAGCTCTAAATCATATTTGAATGAAATAGTTCATTTCTATATTTTATTCTAAACTCGGAAGATGACGTCATCAGTTTCATGCTCTTTTTTTTTAGTGTAAACAATAAGCGACGTCATTGTTAAATGCGTTCTTGTCCCAAGTATATACATTTTTCCGGTTGCATAATTAAAATTGTTTTTCTACATTCGAATACGCCTTTATTTTTTATTTTTCTTCTTTAAATAAAATTGTGGTTATACATTTAAAACATCTAACATATTATTTTCAACAAAAGTCCGTATAAAGTTCTTCATATATCGCTGCAGATTCTGATGTGATGTCCGGCAAAAATATTTTGCGGAGAGACAGAGAGAGAGAGAGAGAGAGAGAGAGAGAGAAGTGCGCACAGGGTCTTTTATATATTAGGATAATTGTTAGCTAAATCAAATCACGCACATTAGCCGGCACCCCTGTGGTCAGGTGACCACCCTACAATAGACATGCCATGGTGTCCTCAACATCTGGGCAGTAGCCGATGTGGGTTTTACGTTACTATTATGGAGGGTGATTAATGTACACTCAAGGCTTTCATTCATCACGCCCTTATTGCCTATGTTCATTTTAAACAGTGCAATACACTATGGATAGGAAGGGTTACCATAATAGTTCACAAATTGAATCAAGTGTGTTACTGATGCCTTGGACCAAATGTGATTTTTGTGACCGGGGCTCCCCCATGAGTAGTAATGTGCTTATGATTGTTTTATTCCTACCCCATTGATTATTATATGTTAAGGCTCATAATTAAAATAGATTAATGTTAATATTATTTCCTGATTAGTTTTATTGTTTTTATTTCTATAATCTCACAAAATGACTATTTTTTGTTTTGTTTTTCTGTTATTTATGGGAATGGGCGGGTGCTAAAAACCAAAATACTTATTTTTAAACCTAATGCTATAATATTTAGCATATAGTTATGACTCAAAGAGTTAAGTCCATAAATAAATAAAAATGGCCGAAAATGTCATGCTGTTGCCATGGTGATGATGGCCATCCTGGATTTTATTTACCATTTTAACATCGAAATTAATTTTAATTTTTTTTTGACTTATCTCTTTGAGTTATAACTATATGCTAGATGTGATAGCATTAGGTTTATAAATAAGCATTTTGGTTAATTTGGTTTTCATCACCCGTCCATGCCCTTAAAGGGATGGTTAAATTAAAGAATGTGGGAAAGGCTCCATCTTGCGTGGACGTTCGTAAGAACATTTTTATATGCTGCTTTTTGTTTCATATAGCCATTTGATATAGCATTTGAGTTTGCCTTTTTGTTTGAGGTTGCATTTGTTTACATTTTTTTTTGTGTTTTTGTTTCAGTTTGCATTTGTTTACATTTTCTTTTGTGCTTTTGTATTAGTTTGAGTTTGCATTTGTTTACATTTTCTTTTGTGTTTGTATTTCTGTTTGCTTTTGTTTGTTGCATTTGTATTTGCGTTTGGGTTTGTGTTTTCTTAACCTTGGTCCCAGAGCTATTTTGTTTTTGCTGTATAATGTTAGTAATTTTATCTTTTTCGTATAAAATAAAAAATGATACTCACGGCATAACTTTGAATGCTGTACGAAAGCATGGTGCAAGTTTGGTTGTTCCTGAGACAATGAGTGGTCCGGAAGCAGTCTGTGAGGAATCAATATCAGGAATGTAAATTGCGAGGGCACTGTCATCTCTGGGGTGCTGTCCTACACCATATACTGTGCGATCTGGATTTCCTGAAGATAAAAATCCATTATTATTATTACTTCGATTTTGATCTGCTTAACATTTGAAATAAATTCTAAACAGACTGCACTTTTGTACCAGCCAAAAGAATCATCCTACCAATTGTGAGAAGCTGACAATAGCAGAGATTAATTTTAAATTGAAATTGCAGTGCTCACATTTAATACAGCAGCTCTCAGAGTGAAAATGTAAATGAATTATCTATTTGCTAAAATAAGTTGTGTTTTGCATTCATGTAACATAGAGAAATTAATTGCCTTTGGTTTACAAATATTTTTATACTATTGTTAAGTATAATCATTTGTTACAAAATTTGATGTTTTAATAAAAAGGTACAATTAAATATTTTTACCAAAAAGAGGTCATAAGTTTGTTGTAAAAACCTAAGACAAATCATACACTGTGCTCATACTAACTGCACCTCTCCACCATGAAACTATGTTTAATTTTGTAGTTGCCCTTTTGTTGAGAGATAGTATTTGTGGATTCATCTTTTGGGAGTACTTTAATTAGGTGTCCTCTTGATGGGAGTCAATTTTGAAAGCCATTTTATCATGAGACTAAATGTAGGGTACCCTTTTGTCAGGGCTCTTTTGACTGGGTTATTTTTGTTAGGGCCCTTATTTTGATATATTTTGATGGGTGTATTTTCTGGTACATGAGTAATTTCTGCTCTTTTTGGTCATTTTGAAAATCGGCTAAAATTTAATATTTTGAAATAAATAGGGATAGATCATTTTCATTTCCAAACATCACTTAAGCCATGTTTAACTAATGTTATGTGCTTTGAAAAAAAGCATAAATACCATACCAGAAATGTTTTTGACATTTAAAAATGAAACAATTAGACTAGACCTTTATTGACAACCATGATGGTATCTCCAAATCTGACACAACCATCAGCAGAAGTGCTTAGTTGAATCTGAAGACAAAGTTAATAAAAACAAATAGTAGTAAAAATTTATTAGATTGTTTTATTGATTAAATTCTAGTAGATTTAAATGTGGTGAATTGAGTTCATTGGTCTTTCCAGCCTATTTGGTAACTCACTCAGGTGAGGAAACAAAAATTAGCATTGCACTTGCACATGTATTTGTAAATACCCTGTTCACTGAAAATAATAAACTGCAACTATGTTTTAAATGAATGGTAATTAATTTTAATATTATTTTGGGGTGATTCAGTCAATACAATACAGTAATTACCCCAAATAATACAAGATCAAAGTACTTATTGAAGAGAATGATAACTAGTCATTTTGCAAATGGGAATTTCAACATAGTACTGAAAAAATCACTGTTAGTCTGCTTATAAGACAACAATTTCACAATATATAGACTATGACTTATCAAACAAGGTTTATCCTTGTTCTTTAGTTACATTGTTGAAAATTAGTAATGTACACAATATCTGGTTTGTGTAAATCTTAAATGGCTGTTGAAAGTAACACTATATTAGGATTTGGTTTAGAACTAAAAGTATTTTAAAACTATGATTTGATTATCTTAATTTCAAAAGAATAGAAGACAAAAATGACAGAATCAAACTTACAGGATTGGACATTCTTCCCATGAAACCACTAGATCTTTGAATAAGTAGTTGACCGTTTGCTCTTCTCTCCAAAAAATCTTTGAGTTTATCCTATTAATTAAAAAAAAAGGTACCTACTGGTAACAACTGAAAATGTTCTGTCTGCTGCAAAAATAATGCAAAAAATATGCCACTATGTCCTGAAGCAGACAGGTTTTGTGAACAGTGAGAGTGAAGTTAGTTTAGTGTTAATATCCATACAAAAATAAAAACCAAATGATAGACATATATCTAAGTTATGTGGTCCTTCCTTCCATGGGTGCATTTCATACAGTACTAAGTCTTTTCTATTGTAATTCATTAAGTGATCAAGTTCAACAAAAGTATGCTAATCACACAGACAAGCATTTTTGTATTTTGATGCTTTCCCTAGTATTAGTTCCAGCTTGGAAATAACTGAACTAAGACCTATATTTTAAAGTTTTAGTGACTGTCATTGAATTTTGCTGACTTTGGGCAGAGATTTCAGGTTAGTTTTCATCTGATGCTTGTTCATTAGCATCTTAAATTTATGACAACAATGCCAACCAGTTTCTCTTACTCTGTGTTGCATTATTTCTCTTTATAAAATCATCCCCACTATGTCTAGTCAGGTCTATGACGAATTCCTAAAAGATGTTGGCCAGAGCGCAACAAATGCCTCAATGGACTTTTGCCCAAAAGGGGCAAATGACCATGTGTCAATTCTGGAAAATGGCCTTTGAGCAAACAGCATTTGGGCAAGTATATTTTGGGCAAACACCTAGCTCCTGTGAAGTCAAACACCACATTATAAAAATTGTTTATTTGTTTTGTTATGATTGATAATGAGTGCTTATACTAAAACTAATAGAAAGCGAATATGTACTGCAGAATACATGATATAGTCTATCAACCCAGTTGTTATTGATCTGGTTAAGTGGATTACAAATGTGAGTGTCCAGGAGTCATAGTTTATAAATACAAAATCCTCACACATTATTTAAAAACCACACAATAAAAAGATGCCAATTAACATAACTCTCATCCAATAATGATTAGACAGGAAAAAATAGAGAGATTTTAGCTTAATGATGTTATTGTTACAAATATCAACCATCATGTCTTCAATACTCCAGATGCCAGATTATCGACAAACCAGTTGGTTTTCAGCTATGCTAGATAAGAATTTTTGTTTAAGAAGTAAAAGAAAGCTTTTCCTTATAACTATTTAAATAGTAGCGTGTCATTTATTTTCTACTTTTTTTAGTGCATTATAACATAAAAGCTTGTTATTAAAACGTTTTGTATTAATTTTTATTCAGTACTTTAATTTTTAAAAAATTTACAATGGAGTTGCTTGACTATAAACCATTGCGCACTTAATGAACAGAAAACGCGCGGAATAGTTGAGTAAGACAGCCTACTAATTTGGACACAATTTTAATTAATTCATAAAAAATTCAATAGGCATCCAGATTGAATTGTTTTCATGCCTTCACCCATGTGCCAACTTTAAACCGAATCTGTCAGTTACAAATGCCCGAAATTTCGCTCGTGTGTTTCGATCTAGACTGGCGACAGAGGAAGCAAGTTAAATAAAAGCTTTTAAAAATAGGCTGTTGTGTTACATTTCTTCAAACCCTCACCTCTTTTACCTCCCCTGAATGTGTGATGTCATTAATGGATGCCCAAGATACATGCTAAAATAATGTATTAGTAGTATTATTGTGATACTACAGTAATAGAGACATTTAGCAATGTGTAACAACACTTTTTGTGTGTTTCGTATATAATCTCTCCATAGAGTAGAATACCACTTCTGCATGCTGGAAATCATTCAAAAGTTGATAGAAACCTTCGCATAACATAGGCATATTCAGGTTTTTGGTGTAATGGATATGGATATTTATTCATGTTGATTAGGTCCTCTATAAGAAAGATGAGGTAGACTTCCAGAAAAATTGAATGCTTTTTAGAGTTGCAAATGAAAGCTGTGTTTGACTATTGGATAATATAGCATTTATAAAGTGTTTGAAATGAGATGATTTAGCATTTATAAAGAGTCAAATTTAAATAATGAGTACAGCTGTGTGTAAAGATTGCATGTGAAGCTTTTTCTCTAACTTGTTTTTGTAGGCTTGATATTTCACCAACATTGTGTTTTCTCCATTATAAGCATGACCATAGCATATGGTCATTGACAGCCATAAATCTTTCCATGGCTTCTCCAGCTTCTCTAACATGTTGGAAATCTGAGCCATTTTGTATACCTCGATTTTTAAATATGTTGGGTTTCCATGATAACAGAAATTTTAAAAATTCCTTTTTTCTGTATAATATTTTCATTTACCAAACATGGAAAAAGTATTTCAATAGCTTCATATGTTAAATTGTAAAAAATAAAATTCAAACTGAACATGACCTTTTAACAAATCTTGTAACTGACAAATTTTCTAAGCACTGCTGTTGTGTTGGTCAGAATATATTTAGTTTGATTACCTTTGAACAATTGCTAACTAGTAAAACCCAATCCAATTATTCAACATTGTAGTACTTCTTTTTTAGAATACCAACTTCTATTGTAAACTTAGAAACACTACATAAATGATGTTATGATTTAGCACCAGTCTATTATTATATGCTTTTTGTTATTATTATTATATGCTGTTTGTTTCATACAGCATTTGCGTATGTTTGTGTTTTCTATTGAGTTTGTATTTGTGTTTGTTTTCTTTTGTGTATGTATTTGTATTTTGTGTTTATGTCTGTGTGTTGTGTTTGTATTTCTATTTGGGTTTGTGTTTGCGTTGTGTTTTCTTTTGAAAATGTATTTGTCTTTGTGTTTGCATATTGTGTTTGCGTTGTATTTGCATTTTTGTTTGCATTTGTTTTTCTTTGCATTTGTGTTTGGTTCTATTCCCAAGTTGGTACATTTAAAAAAAGATTCACCATGGCGAAGCATGGGTATGCAGCTAGTATTTATATAGCTAGTATCTATATCAGCCTATATTGGCAGTATATTCATATTGTAGTATATAACTTAACTATATGCCAATTAATATTAAATTGTTAAATAATCTAGTCTGGATAAGTCGGATAAGTTGATATCTAATATTCTAAGCTATCTATTTTAAATCTAATTCTGATATAAATATTTTAATATACGTCTAGTCTATGGCCTATGCATTTCATTTAGAATATTATTATGAGATCTGGGATGGGCTACATTTTACATTTATTTCAACTATCTATCTAGGGGTTCTAGGCTAGGCCTAATTGATACTGATACAACTAAATATTGAATTAATTTTATAAAATTATTATTTTATAAGATCTAGGCCTAACACTACGTAATTAGATCTAGATCTAAGTATATTTCAATATTAATTAGTTACTGACTTACTTCTTCAAGCTGAACCTCTTCAATCCAGTTTCCAATACGCACAGAAGGATTATATGTTCTAACATGGGCCATATTAATATATAATTAATATAATTATCAGATTGCTGGTTCTGACAATATGTAATCGCCTTAAAATTAAAGCAGTTTAAAGTTTAAACTTCATATAGAGATCGCACTCTTGTATGATGTAGATCTATACTAATACTATACTATTTATAATTATCGATATAGATTAGATTGGTACTTAGGGCCTAGCGTCTTTCCTTGGCAACAAAAACGGAAGTACGTAGAGTAAAAAAAAAACAACTGGGAGTGATCTCCTCTAAACCCCTAATATAACATTACCGGGGGCGGCAACTGGAATATATAACTAGATCAAGACATTATTTTTCAAATTGTAAATACCTAAGTTTTAAAATATCCTATCCTAATTTATAAAAGACGATGTGCGTACTTCTCTCTCTCTGCTCGCATCATTTTTTTAGGCGATGTGATCAGTATGTTCAGCGTTTTGTTGAAAAAATATGGTGGATGCTTTAATGTATGAACTAAATTTTATTTAAAGCAGGAAACTAAAACAAAACAAAATGCATATTCGAAGGTAGAAACACATTTTTAGGTAAAAGGAAAAAAGTCACAGGAAAAAAACAACAGAAAAAGTCAGTTTATGCTAGGAAAAAAAAAGTCACAGAAAAAAAGTCACAAAAGAAATTTTTATTGGAAAAAAGTCACAGAAAAAAAAGTCACAAAAATATTCTAAGAAATATTTAAAATTAATTGTTGATAATTGTAGAATTTGTTTATCAATGTGCTTGGTAATTTTTTCGTAGCATATTTGTAAACTGAAAGCATTATGGTTTCTAACAAGAACAAGTTAAAATACTGTAAGATAATGCACATAGCAACGTCACTATTTGTTACGTATTCAGTTAAATACGCGGTGGAAAATTATTTTAAAATAAATGTAGGCTCATCATTGTGTTTGCATGTGTTTTTGCCGTAGGCCATATCTTAGTCGGCTTCTCCTCAGTCGGCTTTGTCCGTTTACGTTTTGCGTCAATCACAGCCTTTGTACCGTGTCGGCTTTCTCTTTTGATCCTAGGCTTTGTTAAGAGATAAGCGAGATACATGTGGGCAGTACAGGTGGTTAAGCTATTGTTGTGATTAATTGAGGGCAGCAAGTCACATTGACTTTGTCTTTAATGCCATTTCACGATAATTTAAAGTTAGTATTTGAAAATGCTATTTAAACAGAGAAGGTTCGAACATTAAGGGGGCGTCCATAAATGACGACACAAATCCTGGGGGTGGGGGTGGGGGAGGGTTCAGACTTTTGTGACGAGGGGGAGGGGGGGGGTAGAGACAGTGTGGCATCACGTTGTCTTAATTCCACGAATTGATTAACATGCATTTTGTTTTAGTTTTTAGAAAAATAAACTTACTAAATACTAAATTTTTTTTTTTTAAAAGTACGTTTCGGCAACAGTCCTCTTGAAGGGCAACGACATGTATCGACAGTCCCAGTAAAACTGATAAGAGCGCAAATCAAATTGATCGCTTTGTTTACAGCGGCAACACTGCATCACTGCTTCCATGCTTGGAACAGTTCTTCTTCGTTCTTAATTTTTAGTGTTGGGAGGGATCGAGCCTTACCTGCCAGAGGGTTTGAACTCGAGACTTTTTTTTTTCGAATTTATCAACCATGAGCTTTGCCGACTCGACCATGCTTCCATCACAATTAAGGATTACGTGTCAACTGGTTATGCGCCATTGAGGCCATTGACTCCGATTTCAGCCTGCTTTTCTTTTTGGATTTGCTTCCATAGCCTTTGTCCAACCAAGAACAAACTACAAGGCAGCAGTTGTTTGATTTTGAATTTGTCTCTCCTAGAAGAGTGGCTGTCCCCAGCTAATGAGCCTGATCTGCTCGAGGGTTCGAATTCGAGACTTTCCGGTTTAACAACCACGAGCTTTACCGACTCGACCACGCCGACCCCTTGGACCGAATGAGGTATGCTTTATAAGTCAAGATGACAAGGCTCGCGTTCCGCTTGGGTTGACAGCAGCTAAAAAACAGAGTCCATTTCTCATGCACATGGAATACAGGGTGAGCTTGCCTGACCATGACTGGGTTGTGGCTGCTGGACATAAGCTGATCTCTTCAGTTTATGCCGGGATAAAAATTCAGCCCAACGCCATCGGAAATCGAAAAGCTGTTGGATACTCCGCCGGCCCAAATACATATCAATCAGATCCGGTAAACATTCCTCATCCACAGCACTTAGTCATGGGCTTGATTTTAAAAAATTACTTAATTTACATGAATTTGACGATATCTCAAAGAGTGGTGTGGATCAAATTGTTAAACTATTATTAGTGTTGACGATTGATGGTGGCCGAGACGAAAACCCTAGGTATCAAAAGGTGATCAAAGTTGTGGTACACCACTTTCTCAATCAGAACTATGATGGTTTGTTCATTGCTACCAATGCACCAGGAATAAGTGTATTTAATAGGGTTGAAAGAAAAATGGCGCCACTTAGCAATGAGCTCACAGGATTAGTTTTACCCCATGACCACTACGGCAGTCATTTGGATGAAAGAGGAGTCACAATAGACACAGATTTAGAGAAGAAGAATTTTCAGTTTGCCAGAACACTTTGGCAGAAATATGGTCACACTTGACAATGGATACAGTGGCAGAATACATAGATCCAGAAGAGTCTGAACTCCTTAAAACTTCTCTGCTCTCAAAGGATCAGCGTTGACACGATATTCATGTGAGAGTTTAGAGGGTAGTTTGTAGCTAGCGCTAATTTGTTTAGACCAGACTTTTATGTTGTATCTTTGCAACAGTTTCTTTTGTGAAATGGTACATAGATGGATCATACGTTTGTTAGAATAAGGTCATACAAGTGACATACAAGATCAACTTATCAGAAACATTTATTGTACGCATTGGTCTTTCGTTGACTGGTTGATTGTATAACGAAACAAGCTAGAGCTAGAAGCAAACTGGAATCCAACGGATATAACAGCTCGAAGTCTTGGATTTCGCAGATTTGCGCTGCCTCCTCGTACACAGTCAGCAACACATGTAAACTAATATTACTGGTTGAAGAAGTAATAACCAGTTTAATAACAGTGGCAGCCCATGCCGTTCTAATTAGAATCAGCAGCGAAAAAACGTGTTTTAACATTCTAAGCCAAATTGGAATTCAAATGCATTGTCAAAAAAAAAAAAAAAAAAAAAAAAAAAAAAAATTAAAAAATTCGATCGGGATCTATAGCTAACTGTAAAGTATCTTTTAGTGTATAGCTTTGAGCTAAGTTACTAACAGTGGAGAATGAAATAATATCATAGAAAAAGTGGTGGCTAGGACACACTATCAGAAAGATAATAAATAACATCACTAAGTAGGTGCTGGTGTAAAGTCCACGGGGACAGAGATGGAGGAGATTGGATTATTAGGGTTCTATCTTCGTGAAAATCAAGCAAGTTGTCGAAATGTTGCCTACGCCTATACTCCTTAGGAAACCGAAACGAATAAAATAAAGAAATATTTTTTCTTAGAGCAGTGGCAGTGGCGTAGCGAGGTCGGATGTCACCCGGTGCGGCACTTAATGGTGTCGCCCCCCAGAGGCGATGCGACCCTTCCCGGCGCCCGGAGATAAGCGTTCAATTTTCGATTTGCACCCCCTCCACTCTTATTGGCATTTGTCAAATTTGCTCTTAAAAGACTTTTTAACACTCGAATTAATCACTTACTTAAGTGGAATTATCATTTTTCTCTATATATTTTGCTATTTTTTTTTACCTTGGTGTCACCCCTAAATGGTGTCACCTCCCAGAGGCGTAGCGACCCTTCCCGGCGCCCGGGGACAAACTTTCAATTTTCGATTTGCACCCCCTCAAACTTTTGATTTGAACCCCCCCCCCCCCTCCCTCCACCCTTGTCGGGATTTGTCAAATTTGCTCTTAAAAAACTTTTTAACACTCGAATTAATCACTTAAAAGTGGAATTATCATTTTTCTCTATATATTTTGCTATTTTTTTGCCTTGGTGTCACCCCCCTAAATGGTGTCACCCGGTGTGGTCCGCACCCCCCCCCCACGCTACGCCACTGATTATAGATCTAACGACACCGCTCGTCGTCAGTGTTTCTTCCAGACTTTTTTCTCCGGGGGGGGGGGGGGGCAGTTGAAATTTTCGGGGGGGGGGGGGGGGGGCGGTAGACTTTCTTCGGGGGGGGGGGGGGGGCGGACACTGTTAAAAGTATATATTTTCTATATAAATTATATAAATTTCATTTCGTTCGGGGGGGGGGGGGGGGGGGCGGCGGTAAAAAAAATTCGGGGGGGGGGGGGGGGAAGAAATGGCTGGAAGAAACTCTGCTCGTCGTAACATTTGTCATGAATGATATCGGGTGTTTAACAAGATCTCAAGATAACATTTAGTATCACAAGAAAAAAATCACAACAAGAAATATATATTTTGCATCTTAAAAGAACTATTGTTTAACTAAATCTTAATAATTTTATTGGCAGGTCCGAATAGCGGCCAAGACCCGCGGTCCGAATAGATGCAGCCTGTTTATTTTGTTTCAGGCCTTTAATTCAAGTTTTTAAAAAATTCGATTTAGATTGACATGGCAACCAGTTGCAAACTATGTCAATGTATTGCGAACTGCTAGAGAGAGACTAGAGAGTATCTAGATCTAGAATAAATCTAGATCTATCCTGTTTTGGTTCACGACCAGATCTATTCTACATCTAAATCTATACTATATCTAGATCTAGAATCTAGTAATAATTTGCAGCTATGCCTTTGATTGTTAAAGATTTTCACTGGGAGCAGTCTGAAATTATTTTATGGATAACTATCCCTTTAAAAGGAGTGAAAGCTAACAAAGTGGACATTATTTTATCCGATAATTATTTAAAAGTAAGAGTTAAGACACTCCGTGCCGTTATAGATCTACTAACTAATCTATATTTGACGAGTTGGGTTCGATTTGTATTATTAGAGTTGAATCTATTATAAACTATTCATTATTATTTATTATTTTGTTGACATGGATAACAACATGTATTTTTTTTCAGTTTTGCTTGACTATCATAATCATAAGACTTATAAGATAAAATAGGTTGGCGTGGTCAAGTCGGTAAAGCTCATGGTTGCTAAACCGAAAAATCTCAAGTTCGAACCTTCGGGCAGATGAGGCTCGTTAGCTGTGGACAGCCACTCTTCTAGGAGAGACAACTCCAAAATTAAACAATTGCTGCCTTGTAGTTTGTTCTTGGTTGGACAAAGGCTATGGAATCAAATCCAAAAAGAAAAGAAGGCTGAAATTGGAGTCAATGGCCCTAATGGTGCATAACCAGTTGACACGTATACTTAATTGTGTTGGAGTTAACTAATTTTTCGCATGCACCTAGATCAGGGGTCTCCAAACTTTTCATCCAGAGGGCCGCATTAACTATAAAATAGTTCAGAGTTTCTTCGAGGAATTTCTTGGGGTTGGCGAAGCTCTCCCCCCCCCCCCCCCCCCCCCCCCAACGAAGTATAAATTATATAGAAATATATACACAATTCTGAAAGAAACACTATCGGGGCCGACAACACACTTGAGGTCCAAGTTTGTTCTCAAATTGTTCTTCACATATTTCATTCTTGAAAATGTTGTTCCAAAATTTGAAAGGTACTTTGATGCAAAAGTTTTAATATTACGAAAGTCTTCCTTGGGCAAAAACTTATGTTAAAAACTTATAAAAACCCACCCGCCCTTCTTTGAACTTGTCTCTAAGGAGGTCATTTGCTTGCAATTCAATGATGTACAGCTGTAGTTCATCTGGACAACTGGCCACATTTGCTTCAAATGGGTTTTGATAGTCTCACTTCTTCTGCCTTTAAATCCAAGTCAGAAAACCTCTACTGAAACTGCAGCTAGAGGTCCTTGATGATCTCACATGCAAATGACTCAGCTGTTGCTTCAGCCATGAAGCCTTTTAACTGCTGAAAGTGAATCAAGTTGTTGGCCTGTACTTGTTTAAAAAACAAGACAAGGCCTCTGAAGGCCTCTAGGTGGGTGTATAGAACAGAACAAGAGTTTACTCTCCTTGTAGTTTTAGGTTCAGAAAATTTAAATGACTAGTTATCACTGCAGCAAAGGTCAATTTCCATACCCACTCTTCATCAGACATTAATGGCTGTGGCTTGCCTTTAGTTTCCAGAAAGTCACCTATTTCCTTTCTTAACATAAATACTCTGCTCAGAACTTTCCCACAATATGCTAAATCTTGCTTTTCTGTGTCTGTATCTTTCAACATGTCTCTGAACTGTCTATAGTTGAGCCCATGTGACCTTATTAAATTCCATTGCAATTGAAAAATGGCGTAACTTGCTTGCATTTTTCACTATTTGAGTCACGATGTTTTCACCAATGTCTGCAACACGGCGGGCAATGGTATTTGCACCCAAAGCTACATTTTAAAATTGTTTTGAATTTTCTGGGCAAAGTTCCTCAGCTACCTCCAACAAAAATCTTTTCCATGGACAAAAAGATCTCAGCGGGCCAGATGAGAAGACCTTGCGGGCCGGGATGAATGGCTAGGCCATATGGAAAAACTGTCGGTTTGACCCAAAACCCTCGATGAGGGCTAAAAAATGACAGAGTGAAATTCTCCATATTTGAGCTATATATAAAAAAAAAATTTGCCTAACGACCCCCCTTAATATTTTGTCAGGTGGTAGAAGAACACCTAGGGGTGTCAGAAAAAACTCGCCAAATCCGGGAAAAATCTGGAAATAGGTCAAAACTGACCAGTCGTATTCCCCTATATAATCTTTGTATTTTATGTGAAAAACAGTAATTTCAACACATATTTTAGGGTACTAAACCTCTGTACATCTGGCTATTTTTTGCATGCACCTCTATAGATGACTAGGTCATATGGAAAAACTGTTGGTCAGACTCAAAGCTCGACGAGGGCTTAATATTAATTAAATGACCGCAAGTGAAATTTTCTTTATATGACGAATGTTAAGATTATTTATATTATTTTCTAATTAGTCTATGAACTCTCAAAATCACTATTTTTTGTTTTTGTTTATTCGGTGTTATTAAAACGGATGGTGAAATTAGAATTTTAGAGAATGCTGGAAATGCTCTCTCTGAGCTTGGACACCTAGGAAAACGTTTGTGTTTGCAATGTGTTTCTGTTTGGTTTGTGTTGAGGTTGTGTTTGTGTTGTGTTTGTGTTGTTTTTGTGTTGTGTTCTGTTTGTGTTGTGTTTGTGTTATGGTTGTGTTTGTGTTGTGTTTGAGTTTTCTGTTGTGGTTAGTTTTGTTCTGTTCCCAAGTTGGTACATTTAAAAAAGATTCACCGTGGCGGAGCATGGGTATGCAGCTAGTATATATATATATATATATAATGATAGGAAATATTATTTCTTTTCAATCTAGTTATTCTTTAAAATCAATTTTTTTACAGGTGAGTTTTCCACCATATCTCTTTGAATGTTTTTTGGCTTATTCTGTTGATGATAACAAAGGATCAGCTGAAGTAGGAAATGGCGTTGTACTCTTTACATTATATAAACAAGTACCAAAAATTTGGGAATCATTAACCTCACCAGATGCATGTAAGTTTTATTGTTAATATATTTTTTTTTAATTTCATGTCCAAACTTTATGACATCACACTCTCTTGACTCATGCGCATCATAAACCCTGACCTATTCCCTACCCTCAAACACAACCACCCAGGTCAGTGAGGAAGATTAAGGATAATATAGATCTTAAGCCTACCCACCCCTATAAGAGTTTTTCCCTCAATAACCTACAATTTTCAAAACTTGTATCTCAACTACTCAAAATGATGGAGTACTATTTTAATTTTCAAACAAATAAAATATTTCAATAGAATGACAATAGGCTTATAAATATTCACATCAGTTAGTTTTTTAAAATCATAAATTGGGAATTTTATATCATAACTGATATACTTTTTACATCACAAAAAATAAAATGTATTAAACTGTATGGGCAAAATAAACTGACATGTATATTTCACATAAATTAATTACTTATTCAAACACAGTACAATCACTCATCTCGACACTGGCGTACATGTTCAACGACATGGTTAGTCTTTAGTATATGCTTTTATGATTGATTTTTCAACAGACAAACCTCTCTCAACACACCAGATTCTCTCAACAGACCAGCCTCTTTCAACAGACCAGCCTCTCTCAACACACTAGTCTCTCTCAACAGACCAATCTTACCATACAAGACACCAGCCTATCTCAACAGATCAGCCTCTCTCAACAGACCAGCCTCTCTCAACAGACCATTCTTACCATACAAGAAACCAGCCTCTCTCAACAAATGATCTGATATGATTATCATACAATAGACAAGCATCTCTCAGCACACCAGTCTTACCATAAAAGACACCCGCCTTTCTCTACAGACCAGTCATAACATACAATAGACTAGCCTCACATAACAGACAATAGACACCAACCTCCCTCAAAAAGACCAGTCTTACCATACAAGAGACCAGCCGCTCTCAAAAGACAAGTCAGACCTATCAAGAATTCAATGCGACAGATATTCCTGCAATGCAGTACAACCCTGATGCTACTATCTACTTCAAAGTGAATTAGCAGATAGCTGGCAATTGCTAAGCTAGGGTCGTAAGATTATGATCTCATCTGTAGCCCCTGACAAGCTGTACAAGAGCAGAAAAAATAAAATAAAAGCTGTCATATATGAGCACCTAAAATCAAGTCATAAATACACATTTTTATGATGATTTGCCTGATTTTAAAAATGTGTTGCCATATTAATGTTTCTTCGTGTGACGTTTATTTAAAGAATAAATTAAAAAAAAAAAAACAACACATTTTTTTGTAAAATAAGTAAACATTAAATCATTATTAATGTGATTAATGTGTTATGTCTCATTCATAATATATCCGACAATAAGGTTTATATTTTTACTATTATAATTCTACAACCAGAATAAGTAAAATAATTAATGGTGAGAATAGAAAGATTTAATAAATAAAGCATAACCTTCAACAGTTAACAAGTCTAGTGCTAAATACAACCATAATGAATAAACAGTCGAAAGCGATAATGCCATACTAAAACATTAAACTGACCCCATAAAGTAGAATAAACTCAAATAATTAAAATTAAAATATGACCCCAAAACTATAATCTAAATATAATGAAGTGTTAATTATAACTTAAAAGCATAAACATAACTAAAACATAACTAAAACACGTTAATTGGACAAAACGAACGAACGTGGCCTAGACCAAAATTCTCGGTTCAAAACAGCTAAGTCTGCATGCGCACAGATAGACGGTTTGGCAGCGAGAATTTAAGACCGAGCAAACCGTTTATCTTTTAAAACCTGCTCTAATTTTGTAAATATTAACAAAACTCATTTTAAAACGCTACAGTATAGTCGGTAGAGAGTTTGTTCGCACATATCATTAAAAAAAAATTGTATTAGAGCGGTCAACAAAGAAATAATCAGTTTTTTGTCTCTCCTGTAAAATTTACATTTTCGGAGTTAGACAGTTTGCGACTGAGACCATCGATATATATATATATATATATAAAGGCCTCCATGTCATACCTCAGAGAATCTGAAATGCTTCTGTTAGCTCTTCATGTTGCTGCATCTTATTTTCTGGTATAAAGTTTTAAAAAGGTCTGGATTTTTCTGTGGAATACCATGATGTTGCAGTTGTTTCCAAAATGTTTATCTCTCTACACTGTCAAAAGCTTTCTTAAAATCTGTAAGTTCATCACATACAAAAAGTACTGGTTCTATCACCTTCATTAAACTTTCAGTAAATTATAAGCTAGTTGTTCCTTCAATTCAAGTATGACACAAAAAATGCACTTGCAATTACACAATGATAATTTTTTTTTCTCTTATAGCTAACACCAGCAAAGCAAAAGAAATAAGAGAGGAGGCTCAGAAAAGAATTCAACATAGATTTGAAAAAAAGCAAACAGAATTACTTGAAACAAAGAGAGAACATGGTAAACTAGCAATCAACGAAATGATGAAAGTAAATATACCTCTTAAATTCATTCAGATGGATAGTATGAATATTACCTTTTGTTTTTACTTTCTCGTATATACGAAGTATAGAGAAAGTCTTGTAATCATGCAAAAAAAAAAAAAGAGATTTTTGCAAATCTCTACGTTTTAGGGCTCCCTTTGTCGGAAAAACATAGTTTTGCAATCTTGTCCGTATGTCTGTGTGTGTGTGTATGTGTGTCTGTGTGTAAACACGATAACTTGAGTACCGTTACAGCTAGGTTGATGAAATTTCATATATAAGTATTATATCAAAATTGTAGATCCTTATCAACTTTTGAGCGATTTCCATGAACTGGAAGTGGAACTTTTTCTACTTTGAATTTTTAAAAAGCCTATAACTTGAGTACTATTTCAGATAGATAAATAAAGTTTCACATGTAAGTAAAAGTTCTAAATCTCTGGCTTCTATCAAATTTAGAGTAATTTACGTCGACCGAAAGTAGTAATTTAGGCTATTTTCAATTTCTCAAAAAAAACTCATGTAAATTTCTACAGTACTAATAATATCCTGCACTATTATGCACATTTTATTTGGCGTTCACTTGGTGTGCAATTCTTTTTTCTATGAGATTCTATTCTAAAATAAAAAGTTTAAGTAATTAAAAATGTATTAAAAGTGTTGTCTATATCCCAAGTTGCCAGCCCTCGTAGTGTTATATAAGAATATTCGAGAAAGTTTAGGGGAGATCACTCCCAGTTTATTCTGTTAAGAAATAGTAATAGTACTTCAATTTAAATAGCATGTACTGAAGTCGATTTAATACTATTGTCAAAAAATCCTGTTGTAAAATGAAGTTATTTCTTTATAAAGCTGTAATTTTGATTATCTATTGTTTATGGAGGCATCAGTGTGTGGTAACTGGTCAGCAGAGTTTCTTTCAGGTGTCTCTTGGAGGTGTGCATTGACCCCCCCCCCCCCATTAAAAGATGAGCATGGGTTACTTAAGTATCTATTGGATACCTTTACTAATATTTTCTTTATAGTTATTTAAATAGTAGTGTATACTTTATTTTCTACTTTTTAGTTAGTGCATTGTCACATAAAAGCTTGTTATTAAAACATTTTTTAATGAATTTTTTAATTTTGATTTTAAATTCTCATCATCTATCTATATATATAATTCTCTTCTGGGAGCAGCTAGAAAACAAGCTGTAAACGCGCTCCCTACCATCCCCACCCCTACATGATCTTAGTGAGCTGTGGTTCACGCTATGTTTACCTTCGTGGAGTCGGGTTTAGTGACAGCTATTAGGGGCAGATAATTTAGTTTGAAACTATTTTAAACGTTGGGGGGGGGGGGGGGGGGAGGAAGGGGGGGTTATGGTCCTTAACGAGCTACTTATACTGTTTGAAAGAAATATTTTCAGTGTCAGCGTTGGTACTGTCGAATTCACAAATTATGAATTACTGAAAAGTAGAAAAAACAACTAATTAGCGGCGTATGTTATGCCGCGGGCCGGCTCGTTGTTAATATTTCCTTATATACCTTACATAAACCTTAATCATGGAGGGGGGTTATTATCCAGGGTGTTTATGTCATTGGTGGGGGGGGGGTTTAGTGGGGGTTAATGTCCAGGGGGGTGTTGACTAGGAGCCGTCTTTTAATTATATGACAGCTACCACATAAATATTATCTTGCATCTGCTGTTGGCTGTGTGAAAGAAGTGTAGTCCCATCCCTAAAATCCATATCTTCAAGCTCATCTGCCTTTGTTTTCTCTTGAGAAGCTGTTTGTCAGCTGGATTTTGATGGACAACTCCATTAATCATACCAAAATGAGATCAGAATGAGAATGACTATCATTTCATGGATGCCATAGTGCCAAAGTTATTTCCAGAAAGTTTCTCAATCAGCACTATAAAATGCTTTGTAGTCTATGTACCAATGAGCAGGGATGACATCCACTCTATTTACTCTTCAACCAAGTTCAATATTGTTGTGATCCGGTCTTTGCATGATCTGTTCTCCCTGCTACCTCAGCCCACAGTGTCTCTCCTTCTTGCTGAGAGGACCAGATTGAAGAATTTTACAGGCACTGCAAAGAGTATGATTCATCCTGTCAAAACTTGTTACTGATGCAGTTGTGGCAAATGTGGTTTTCTGTCTTGTTGGTGGGCGTAACACATTTTAAAATGTATTTTTTCCTCTTCTGATCAAACTGTTTAAAGCACACAGGTCTGTGTATCTTTCACACCAATACGGTCAAACACTGCCAAGGTATGGTCACCCATAACTTCCAGTCTTCTTTCTCTCTCCCCACAATTTCATCAATGAAGCATTCCTAGAGAATCTTAACACCTTTTTACTTTCTCATGTACAGAATTTAGAGGAAGTAGTAAATGATATTTTGACAGTTTTTGTGGTTTTACATGTCCCCATTTTATTTTATACAGAATATAAAGGAATTATTGTAATTGTGCAAAAAAATCTAAATTTGATGTTTTACAACCTAAGGGAGCTTAAAAAAATTGAGTTTAGTAATCCTGTCCATCTATGTGTGTGTGCATGTAAACACGATAACTTGAGTAATTTCTGGTAAACTGAAGTTGTAGTTACTCTATTTCTGGTTTCTGAAAGCCTATAACTGGAGTACCATTAAAGATAGGTGGACGAAATTGTAAATTTAAGGGAGGGGGGGGGGGGGGGGTAAGTGTCAAATTTACAAATTATGAATTACTGAAAAATAGAAAACAAAACAACTAAATAGAATCAAATGCTAAGACGGGGGTCAACTCTTAGAATTAATTATCATTAATGTTTTAATATAGCATAATACTAGCCGTCCCTGCACTGGCCTCTGTGAAAAACCTATCTGTAAAAGACCATGACTTGTCTGTTTATTAAACAGTATATACCCAGCTTGCCTTGGTTTAGGAAATATATTACTTTTCCAATTAAAGGTCTATATGCGAATGTGGACATTTGAGAAAATAACACTAAAAACCAAAGCTAACTAACTCTAAGCTTAACTCTAACCACAATCAACCACAACCAAATCACAAACACAAATGTAAACACTAAAGCAGACACATTCACAAACAAAAATGCAAACACAAAATCAAATGCAAACACAAACTTGAGCATAAACACAAAAACAAACTTAAACATAAATGCAAACAATAACGCAAATGGAAACATAAACATAGAGAATATTATTAATGGCTTCTAAGGGGTCATACATAAATGATGTAACTTTTTTGACAATTTTTGTCTCATTTTGACTTTGGTGAAGTCAGCAGTGGTTATATTATTGCTCTGGTACCAGATTTTCATGCCAAAAACATTATTTTATTTCCACACATGGGGTCTAATTCCTATTTTTCCTATATATATATATATATATATATATATATCAAGATCTGTAGGGGACCTTAAAACCTTTAAAAAAACTTTCAATATCACATATATCTTTTTAAAAACTATTGTTTATGTTCTTAATGTTAATGTCTTTTACAGAATTTTGCAGATGTTAAAACTAATTCTAAAAATTACTAATTGTTAGATTGAGGAAGAAGACAGACAAAGGATAGAACAAATTAAAGTCAGTGAAAGATTAAAAGCAACCAAAGATCTTGAAAAATGGAAAAATGAACAGAAACTGCTTACTGAACAAGTAATATTTTGTAATATTGTCAGTGTAAAAAAAATAGTTTAAAATTCATAGTTATTTAAATTTCTCATGCATGTTTTGCCATTGTTTAAATAGAAATATATACAAATGCAACACTTCTACTAGAATCAGCTTTCACTATGATCAGTTCTTTTATTTTGCTTTTTCATGGCTTTCTTTTTGTAGTATATAATTAGATTGCCTTGGCCATCTGATTACTGACAGCAAATTGACTGCCTGAGAATTTGACCTGTCAAGCTTATAATTCAACCTATTATAATAATTGAGATTTTTCCCACAGTGGAAATAACCATCAACAGCTTTTCAGTTTTTCCTAATAAAATTTTGTTCTTTCCTGCATCAGAACATAGCTCAGTACTCTAGAAAGTTTTATAAGACTTTCAAGAAGTCTGAAATTTTTTTTGACTTAGTCAGCAGCCCTGATTTAAAAATTAATCCCTGTTATTATTTTAATCTGTTTAATTAATTTTTTTCTTGACATTAGGAAAAGAGCAAGCTACTTGCACAGCAATATAGTATAAATAAGACCAATAAATTACAAGATAAAAATGAAGGAAAGAAACAAAAAAGAAGTATGTCAATATCTATCAATATTTATAGTAAAATGTGTCTGTGTGCACTCTGAGATAAAAGAAACAAAAAATTTTTTCATCTGTTCTGTGTGTTTTATTTATTACAAGCTTTTGTTTGTTTGTTTGTGGGTTTGTGGCAAATCTTGTAACTCAATCTTGTTCCACTTCTAATGCAGAGATTTTGTTCAAACTTTCCACTTCAATGACAATACAAGTCTATATATTTTTTAATTTAATTAATTAAATGGTTTTAGCACTAAGTGAAATAACAAAATTAAATCACTCGATAGGTTACTATATATAATATCAGAAGCGGAGATAACTAGCTAGACGTGATTAACCAAACAGTCTGGTATGCTGTGGTTCACGAGAATGTTTACAATTGTAGAGCAGGTTGATCTAGTGAAAGCTAATAGGGGAGATAATAACGTTTTTAAACTATTTGAGACAAAGGGAGGTAAAATAATTAAGACATTGCTGTTGTATGCAAAATATGGTCAAAGACTGCTGCTTTTCAAGGAGCAGGTAATCTTTTTAGATATTGCAAGCTACTGAGGGTGTTTTAAAGCAAATATTTTTAGTCATGTCACTAAAATGTAGAAAATAAAACATATATAAAAAGCGGCAAGTCTTTAAATGTACTGCAAAATAAGAAAATAAAACTAATTTACTTTATTTAATATATAAACAATCTCATGAGCAACCATAGCGTTTATTAAAAAAGTAAATTAGTTTTATTATCTTATTTTCAGTGCATTTAAAAGGTTGTCGCTATAAGAGATTTTTATATTTGCTGTTTTGGTGAGGCTGTGCTTGGCTATTTGTAAATCCTAGCCAATATAAAGTAAATTCAAACATTTTCTTGAAAATTACAATAAAATAAGTGTATAAAACCTTTATAATAGTAGCTTTAAAATGCACTAAGAAAGAGTCTTCCTAGATTCTATATATATATTTTTACTCACATTAAACAATAACTATAGGCTATTAAGTAGCAATTGAATTTTTTGATTAGGGAATTATTGAACACTGTATTGTATCTAATCATAATGATGATATTTGTAAAAACAATTAAGCAATCCTCCATTCCTAACAAAGATAAATTTATAAAATAAATTCTTTTAACTTTTAATATTCAGTAAATAAAAACCATGTTACCCAGGATTTTTTATTGTTTGTTTATCAACCATTAATTTTATTACGCTAATTTTACCTTTTAAATTCATAATCAACCAAAAAAACATTTTTTTTTTACTTTGAGTAAAAGCAGCATGTATTTTTGTGAAACATGCAAAAGAAGGACAAGAGCCACCTAGAGAAAATGGTAAAATTACTGTTACCCACACACCCCGTATATTCCCCACACCAACAAGAGAGTCACAGGTGCATCAAGAAGAAGAGGTATTTTTAAAATAAATCAAATTTTAAAAAAATTAAAATAAACGTACATTTTTGCATTCAGTTAATATTTTAATGTTAAAAATAATTTGTTGAAAAAACAGTGGCTTAAAAAACAATCAAATGCAAGACAAGCGATTCAGCAATCACTGGACAATGATTTAACAGAACAGGAAAAAAATCCCCAGTGGCTCCAAGATAAAGGAAAGTAAGTAGGCTAATACAAAAGATATTTAAGAAAACTCATGAAAATAAATAACTTTAAAATTAAGCCGGAGTGATCTACCCTAAGCTTTCTCAAATATTTGTATATGACACTAAGGGGGATGGCAACTCCAGTTCAGGCGGGCAATAGACATGTTTTTTGTCAATTTTTAAATAGAAAAGGATCACCTAGAAAAAATAATTGCACACCAATGAACAGCAAACAATGTGTGTATAATAGTGCAGAATATTATTACTTTATAAAGAAAACACTGTTTGATTTTTTAAAAGATAAATAATCATCTAATTAAGTAATATTTTATGTCACTGTACTTTGTCTTTGAGTCTGGATTTGCGTGAAGATTGGAAATTAATCGGTCCGGTAAAAGTTTTCAAAATTTTCCTTTTAAGTTTCTGCCAATGTAGTTAATTAGGTAGTTAATTAAAGCCTTATTGTTTTTGAAGAAATGGGAAATAGCGTAAAGTATTACTTCTTGACTTATTTGACTTGACTTAGTCCTCTTTGCTCCTTGTTGAACATAAGGTCTCCACCATATCCTTCGATTTCATCCAATCCACAGCTGTTAACTTTGCAAACTCCAAAGATGACACTGTTGGCTTCAGTTCTTTGAGAAGACTCCGCCTCCAGGTCTGTCTTGGATGCCCTCTCTTCCCCTTTCCCTGGGGGGTTCCACTCAAGCGCTTGGCGTGTCACATTTGGGTTAGCCTCTGGCAGTGTGTGTCCCACCCAGTGCCACTTCTTCCCTCTTTTTTGTACTGTCACAGTAGTACTTTGGGTCACAGTAAATCACTCAAAATTAGACAGAACCTAGAGAATAAGATCTTTTACTAATAAATGAAATTACGTCTACCTGACTGAAACAAACATCAAGTTAAAGGCTTACCAGAAATTGCTGAAAAGTTGACTGAAAACTACCAATTTGATATAATACTTATATATAAAATTTCGGCAACCTAGCCAAATTTATAAATACCAATTTATTTTAAAAAAACAACATACATATTATTGAACAGCCGGGTTTTTAACGGAATCATTTAAGTCTCTTAATCTGTGTGTGCATTTAATATGGTGCTATGTTGATTAATAATGTATATTATTTGGTTTTAATTTTTCTAACAGGTATTGGTAGTCTATGTTATTTTAAATGTGTCTGATTTTTAGCTATTTAGTTATTTCTTTGCTTTGTCACTAATATCATTCAACGTGTAGTAAAGAACATTGAGTTTTGACCAATAACTATTTTATAAATTATTTTTCTTAAGGAAGTATAACATTAAAAAATATATAGGCCTATAATTCACATGTTACGGGTACCGATAGTAACTTAATAATGGCCATGTTAGCTCATAAAAATATTAGTTTGTCATCAAGTCTAACATATAAGTAACCATTCTGACTTACCATTGTACTAGTCTGACATCCAGATCCCACTTAAGATACTAGCCTTACAGTCATAGTAATCTAAAGTAGTCAGCAAGCCTGACTTATTAATGGGTCAAGCTAGCTTATCAAAATACTAGTCTGATGTCAAGATAGAAGTTTAACATACCAAGGTACATTTCTGACATATCAAGATCACAGTCATACATTTTGGATCACTAGCCTGACTTAACAAGCCCATTTTATCTATTGCCATTCTGGTTTAACAATTTATCAAATTTACATCAAGGTAGAAGTCTAAGTAACATCAAGTTATCATTCTGACTAATGATACTAATTTGACATCAAGATAATAGCTTGACTTATGAAGGAAATATTCTAATTTATCAAAATACCAGCCTAACCTAGTCAATATACTAGTTATAATAGTGTTGAAAAGTCTATGTAAATCATACTTAATTTAAAAAAAAATCTTTTAAAAAATATGGCAAGCCATAAAATTCTAGTTACATTTAAAAAACTTAAAGCAGTTTGGGAACCATCGATTACACTGATTTTTATATTTTTGTATTGAAAATAAGCCATTGAAAAGCCCTTTGGAATTATTTTATCAATTCAAATATTTTAAAAACCACCCTCAACCTATCCTTGAAGTCAACCGAAACAGCCAGGGAGGGTCAAACAATAAAAGTCAAAACAATTGTTTTCCATGATAAAATACACAATATGATGTATAGCCTAGTATTGTATTTATATTAAATAATATAACATCCTCGGTAAAATCTTAGTTTAGCGTCGTAAATTCCAACGTAGCTAGTAATGTGCGATGAAGGTAACTTATGAATATTTCTTTCATTTGGCTATATTTATGTCATATTTTACATAATATAACAGATAATTGAATAACAAATCACAATCCAAGACCAAACCAGTCATAAATATCCTGGAATTAACTTTAAACTACCCCGTTCGAGACAACAATGAGTAAATACAAGCAGCAGCCATGTTTCAAAAACAATAAATTGTCTATTCGCATGTCTTTTGTGTTGATTTTGTGGTTTAATATGATTGTTTTGTATTGTTTTAATATATGCCTGGGGGTCGTCCATAAATGACGTCACACTCGTAGGGGAGAGGGGGGGGGGTCCGTAATTTTGTGACGTTGTGTGATGAGGGGGAGTTCAGATGGTGCGACGTCACACTTTTGCATTTTAAAAAAGCAATGTTAGAAAACGAATTTTAGACGTCATTTTGCGTTTTAGAAAACTGTTTTAATACATTGTAATAACAATTGATTAAAATACTCTATTTTGACCGAGTTCAGACAAGATTTTGGAAAAATACAGCTGTTTAAAAACAATTCAACTGCAATTTTGAGGGGGGGGGGTTGTAGGCTGAGGTGTGACGTCATTTTAGGGGGTCTGGCTTTTTGGGTGCATCAAAGACCATAACAATTGTTGGGAGGTCGAACTTTTGAACACTTTATTTGCAGTAAGCAAATCAATATTAGATCGCTTATAAATGACGTCGCTCTTAAGCTAGTAATGACAGCGTGCATTATTACAGAACAAACATATGAACATATTGTTTCAGATAGAAATTGTGATTTGTGGTGGGGAGAGGTTAAGTACAACTCAGCGATGTGATTTTGGAGACGGGTCAGGGTTTTTTTTCGTGAAAAACGGGGATGGTTGTGGGAGAAAGACCAGCTGTAGAAGTATGACGCGTCATTCATTGGTGATCCATTTTCTCAGTGGGGACGATAGAACTATTAAGAAGGGTCAAGAAATGTAAAAAGCATGCTGAGTCGCATTTCTTGAACCCCACCTTTTCATTCCCTCACTTTAATATAATAATAGCACATCGCCATCGAGTTAACGCTCGCGCGTGACGTCATGTACCGGTACCGCCGACCGTTAGGTTTATTTTATAGAAAAAATAAACAAGCACTGCCGCTTTGACACTTAGGCGACGTTTAATTTGATTACATATATTGGTGTTCAATTTAACAGCCCCTAACACATCTATCACTCGTCCATTTAAACATACTTGGTTATTTCTGCAAGCTTGCTGTCTTGAGACTTTCGGCCCTTTAAAAATGTATTAAGCTCTCACCGTATAGAACTAGACTACACATATTAAGCTCCAAAAGTAGCTTGGTGAAAACAGGATGGCGGTCCGATTTTGAAGCTGCTCTGCGCTTTTTAAAAAGCACAATAAATGATCAGATGACACTTACATTAAAGTAAATTATAGTTCTGAATCTTGATACATTAAACGTGATATTCGGAAATTAAGAGCCAGACAGTCAACATGATATTTCAATTTAAGTCCAAGAAAATAAATTTCCTCAAACGATGGAACATTACTAAATTTTCGCGCAGTTTAGCGAAATTGAATTTAAGTATTTACGTCATCTTACAACAGAGGCGTAGCGACCCTTCCCGGCGCCCGGGGACAAACTTTTCGATTTGCACCCCCCTCGAGATTTCGATTTGCACCCCCCCCCCTCAAACTTTCGATTTGCACCCCCCTCAACCTTTCAATTTATTTTTCCAACCCATTTAGGCGCCCCCTAAGTTCGGCGCCCGGGGACATATGTCCCCCCCCCCGCCCCCCCCCCTCGCTACGCTACTGTCTTACAAAGCGCGATAGCCTACTGGTGCTCTAACGCAGCCCATGCTAATGGCCGTATTCCTAACGCCCCGCATTAGATGCGGCTTATTCGTCGGCAGGCATTTGGCGGCAAGCCTTTTTGACGGGGATAATGTGTTGCGGCCGTTTTGCCATATGTCTTAAACTAGCAGGCTTGCAACATTTTTAATGATTCGTTTTAAGCAAGTTATACGTATACTAATGCTTATTTATCGTTATTTTGATTGAACAAAGCATTATAGAGGTTCTCCATCAACCACCTAGGTATTTTTCCCCGTTCACCTCCTTTCATGAGACCGACACGTCATAAATTGCAAAGCCGCCTGAGTTGACGTCACAAATCTTCACTCACTCCCGTAGCAAATCATATGTGACATCATTTATGGACAACCCCATATCACTCACTTGGGTACTTGATATTGACAACAAAGGATAACCAAAATGTGTCTGGCAGGTGGAGACTTGCGATCGACCATAATGACAACACGCACTTAAGGGGTGGAGCGGCTCATTGTTTTAGATGATGTTTTACGAGGGAAGCTGGTGGATAATACATTTTGTCTCTCTGTATATATAGATCTAAATGATGACAAACATTTAATGCTGTCAAAATTATGGTTAGAGATCTTAGACTTAGATAAGGCAGAGTGAAGCGTAATTTTTACATTATGACTTGTTGTGACATTGACGACAAAAATATGACGGAGGTTGGGGTTTAATTAAGGTAAAGAGAAGTAAAAAAAAATGTCATAAGTTATGATAGAATTACTAATTGATGAAAAGAAAAACCTGAAATGAAAATAGTGAACATTCAAACAATAAGAAAAAAACTCAAACTATATAGTAATAGTAAGATCAAATAAACATTAGTAAAAAAAAAACGTTATTTAATACATGGATACAAGTAGCATCTCACAATGCTTCTAGAATTAATAAAGTTGTTTGTTAGGAAATTCACATTTTTAAAAAAAAAATGCTTTGTAATACGGACTATACAACAAGACGATCATATTTAAATACATTTTCATACGAATAGAAATGAAAGGGAAGCTACTCTCAATAACAATTTCTTAAGATGGCTGCTGTTTTTAATAGCAAATTTACTATCTCGAACAGGGTTGATAAAAATTAATTTCAGGATATTTAAATTGATTTAATCATAAATGGTGATCTATTATTCAATTATCTATAATATTTTATCAAAATATACGAAAATATACTCATATTTAATGACATATTCATTAATTCACTCTCTCCCACATTACTAGTTTTGGTCGAATTTAAAATTTACTATCTCGAACAGGGTTGATAAAAATTAATTTCAGGATATTTAAATTGATTTAATCATAAATGGTGATCTATTATTCAATTATCTATAATATTTTATCAAAATATACGAAAATATACTCATATTTAATGACATATTCATTAATTCACTCTCTCCCACATTACTAGTTTTGGTCGAATTTACGACGCTAAACTAAGATTTTACCACATCCTCTATCACCACAACACCCTGACTCTCCTAATCAAAATTAAAAATAAAAGTGTTTGCTAAATTACTATATTACTAGTATTTTTTTTTTTGGAGTATTTCTAGCCTCAATAAAACTGCAATAAAACCAGATTTTGTACTAACTACACAAATGTTATAAAAATATTCAATTTTGGTTGAAAAATATGATTTCTGGCAACAAATATTTGGAACCAGCTTTTCATGCCTATTATTAAGTGGTTAGCCTAGCTAACCAAAATACCTGTCTGATAATAAGTTAGAAGTCTATCTTGGTAAGCTGCTAGGATCGATTCTATAATAAACCTATTGGTGCATTGAAAAGCTACAGAGGAATGGTTTTTTAAAAGAGTTTTTGTGCTAAATGTCATATGATAATGTGGACCTGAACCTTGTAGAAGTCCAGCACTTATGCCTGTATCCAGGACATCAGGTTATATGTATAGGCTAATATTTAATTCCCTAATGTAGAAAGTGTTTTAAGATTATTTCTTAGTTAGATGGTTGCACATTGCTCTGGAGAAAGAACTCAACTGAAAAGGATAAAAATAAAGTAAACATTTTATTATTTGATGATGTTATCAGTGACTTTGCTCTGACAACATATTTTAGTTTAATATAGTTCCTTAACCCTTTTAATAGTTTTCAGTAGATTAGATAAAAAGCCTTGTAAATTTGGCGTAAAAGAATGTTTAGTTTCATTTTACCAAAGTAAGCAATTTAGTTTGTTATGGATAAAATATTATTCTTGTAACACTATCTGTATACTTGTTTTGGGACGGCATGGTTGGATGTAGGCGGTATAGCGCATGACTGTAATCTTAAGTTCTAATCCTAGGCTTGAGTCTGTAAGACTTTCCTCAGACCACCCAGCTGTGAAGGGTATCTATCTTGTGTTAGGGAAAGTAAAGGTGGCTGGGCATAGATCTAACCACAAAGGATACTTTACTACTTATTACAGTAAGAAAGCAGTATAAATTATTGAAGGTAAAAGTGCCAAAGTTTCAATTACAGTAGAAAAGCAGTGCTCACTTGATGGAATAGAGTCTAATATTAATCACCTTGAATCAAAATCCTTCTATTAATTAAAATAAGAGACTATTGCAAATAACCACAAAGTATATGGCATAATGAGAGAAACTAAATAACAAAAAAAGTGATCCTTCAGAATATATAGAGCACAGATATATTATAAAATATAGAAAAAAACGAAGAACTAAAATCCTAGAAAAGAAAAACTAAAAGGAGAAAATATAAACCAGATTCATCAGACTTTTAAACAAAACCACAAACTCTGTTCTTGTTACAGAGTGGCTTAGTGAGCATTAGTGTTTTGGGGCCAACATCACGGATAACTCTTTCTTCTTCTTCTTCTTCGTTCTTAATTATTTGTGTTGAAGGGAATCGAGATTTATCTGCCAGTGGGGTTGAACTCGAGACTTTGTTCGAATTTATCAACCATGAGCTTTTTGCCGACTCGATCACGCCTCCAACACAATTAAGCGTTACGTGTCAACTGGTTATGCGCCATTGAGGCCATTGACTCCGATTTCAGCCTGCTTTTCTTTTTGGATTTGCTTCCATAGCCTTTGTCCAACCAAGAACAATCTACAAGGCAGCAGTTGTTTAATTTTGGAGTTGTCTCTCCTAGAAGAGTGGCTGTCCCCAGCTAACGAGCCTCATCTGCCCGAGGGTTCGAACTCGAGACTTTTCGGTTTAGCAACCATGAGCTTTACCGACTCGACCTCGCCGACCCCGATAACTCTTTAAAATTGCTTTATTTTAAAATGCTGTAAAATTATTGTGTCCTCACATTATTTCTTTTTAATGTCACATAGGAACAAAAAAATCTGCTTTTTTTTTTACACTTCTGTATAATTTACTGTGTTTTGTTTGCAGGTTAATATAATGCATTATTTTTTATCAACAAAATTAATTTCTTATAATATTCATATTAGTTCACCTTTCTCTTAAAAATAGTAAAAATCATAGTTGTTTCTATATGTTAAAGTGATTATACTTAATTTTTCAAAAGCATTTAAATATTTTTCAGCTCATTTTTTGCTGCAGGGGATTTTAAGTCTGCTGCCAATGTCTACACACATGCTATTCATTTGACTCCTAAATTGGCAGCGTATCCTTTGTTTTGTTACTTGAGAGAATCTGCACTACTTGGTGGGAAACGGGTTAGGTGAAGTAGAGTTCACCTGTTTCTGTGTCCTCAGCATATGAAGGGATAGTGTGATCAGACCCATGCTCAGACAAAATTGTTGTTTTTAAACAACAATAACACATTGCCTTAGGTGTGATGTCTTTTTGAATGTGGGGTCTGACTTTTTGTGACGATGTGTGACAGTGGGGAGGGAAGGGGAAAGATAAAAAGCTTCAAACGTGACGTCATTTATGGATTAGGTGTGATGTCTTTTTGAATGTGGGGTCTGACTTTTTGTGACGATGTGTGACAGTGGGGAGGGAAGGGGAAAGATAAAAAGCTTCAAACGTGACGTCATTTATGGATGACCCCCAAAACCCATGGTTATTCAAAAATTACGGATAGTCTAGTTAATACTAAAATTGGCATGCTCTGTTTAAAAAATAATTTGTTCAAGCACCTTGCTTGTCAGTATTTAATGGAAAAGTAAAGTAATTTAAAACTAGGCAGAATAATATTTTAGTTTAATGAATTGCTGTACAAGACTTGGTGTTGCATAGGAAGCCTCAAATGGGCTGCCATTGTGTGAAATGTATTGCACTTGGAATTATAAAATGCTAAACTGGGTAACCCTCTAGATAAAAGCTGTTGACACCTATGAATGGGACAATATGGCTTCCAGTTGTAACAAGGAAATTTGAATCAACTGTATGTTTACATGTTTCTGAACACACATGCTTGATCTGTTCTACAGCTCTGTCCACAGAAGTATAAAATTATGAGCTTTCTCAAACAGGACTAAACATTTTGACATATTATGTGTAGCCAATGAAGCAACAATGTTGTCTTCTACATTGTGGTTGGTTCAATTTCTTTATTGTTGCAAAATAGATCTTGTACAATGTAGTATATTTTCAAAACTAAATCAAAACAAAAACCCAACAGACCTCCAAAGTCTGTAATAAAACCAAAAATTTGAAAAAAAGGTTAACATCACAATCATCACCTTGTCTCTCACTCTAATACCCTTGCAACCTAACAACATACATACATACACAACATTCACAATGAATCAGCTACCAATGACAGTTAAGTAAAACTCTTACTCACTGTAGTCAGTTCTCTTCTACAGAAAATATGTCATTTCTAGTTCCTTCATATCAAGGTCTGGGTTTATACTTGGTACCAGAACCAGAGTCTTATGTCTTGCTATTTCTTTCTGCTTGTACTCTCCGCTTGTTTTTTTTTTGGGGGTCTGTATATTATGTTGGCTACCCATGGAATCTTGGAATATTACTGAAGGTCGACAAGTCATGCCCTACTGTCAAGGTACCAGTCATCCTCCCCTGTACACCATTCTCAATCTGGTCCTGTGCGCCATAAATTACAAATTGTTGTTACTCTCTGTCCCACCCCATGGTCAAGCCGGGTTCCCAGAAAGAACCGCAACGGAAAAAAGCGCAACGGAAAAAAGCGCAAAACAAAAAGCGCAACGGAAAAAAGCGCACACGGAAAAAAGCGCAAAGAGAAAAAGGCGCACACAGAAAAAAGCGCAAAGAGAAAAAAGCGCAAACAGAAAAAAGCGCAAACAGAAAAAAGCGCAAACAGAAAAAAGCACACACGGAAAAAAAGCGCAAAGAGAAAAAAGCGCATACAGAAAAAAGCGCAAACAGAAAAAAGCGCAAACAGAAAAAAGCGCACACAGAAAAAAGCGCAAACAGAAAAAAGCGCAAACAGAAACAGAAAAATGCGCAACCAGAAAAAAACACAACGAAAAATGTGCAAAAGAGAAATTTAGCACAAAGACCATATGGGCTGGATGACACATTTATACATGACTGTTAGGGCTGCTGTGAGAGTGTCGTGTTTGATCACGAGATCTACTACCATTTAAAGCGTACCACTACCATCTGCATTCCCATCACCACGATACAGGCGATAATCACTTTACACAATGCCTATTATTTTCTTGGTCAATAATTATTCAACTACTATTCTCGTATAAACATAAAACTATCGACATTACACGAAGTATCTTTCACATTCTCCCTAGTCCGAACTGTCTAGCTTGCATACCACAACAACCCGTTCCTATGGCAAAACTTCACTCTCTTTCATCCGCGTCATCAAACATGCATTCGTCCGTATATGATGAAGTACTGAGGTGTAAAATGATGAAAACTGTCAAAATTTTATGTGATTTTTGTGCACGATTACAAGAAAGTAAAAAGTTAATGTTCATCATTGTTCACCTTTTGCAGTCAATACATCACATATTTTTAAAGCTCTATTTTACTGGTAGTTATTTTTTCTGTTCCTTTTGTATAGGCTGACTGAAATTTGAAGTAGACTCCCTGTCCATGCCTCTGGAAAACTTTATTAACAAGTGGGAGAAATGTAGAGTATTGCCATTGAATGGGATTCGCGATTGATTTTGCAGTTTATAATAGGCTATTGTAGATGCCTTCTCATGCACAAGGAAGAAGAAACATTGATATTGTCTGCTTGCACCTGCAGAAATATTAGCTATATTTCTGATCTGCAGCATTAGAATTTGTGAAAGAAGAATGAGAGGAAAAGATAATGCATTTCAGTTTGATTACTCTCAGATGTTGTGAACATAAAGATTTTACCTAAATATTTTCTTTATATCAACTTGCTTAAGAAATGACAAAACTTATTGATACTTTGATAAAATTAGAGTCAAGAAACAAATCTTTACAATTTTTAACTTCCTTAACACTAGGCTAGACTTTATTCAAACAGGGCAGCTTGTCATTTAAAAATGAGAAATTTTTTTAAATGCATTGAGGATTGTTCTAAGGTAATTACATTGAGACTTAATTAAAACTACTGCCATGCCAAAAGATTTGCTATGAATAACATGAATATCTTTTGTAGGCTATGGACCTGCTATTTCCTCCTGTGCCTCAGAATGCTGCAAGTCGTTGCAAGGCGCTTATAAGGCGTGGAACAGCATTTTGTCATTTGGAAATGTATGTTGAAGGTAACACAGATTTTCTTATTTACAACTGTTTGACACACCCATATATCTACACACATACACAAATCTGTGTTTCTGTTGATGTGCTTGTGTGGGCCTCTGTGTGTGTGTCTTTGTCTCTCTGTCTAATTCATCCCTAAACATATACTTTGTGACACTTTTTTTTACACTTGGGGACTCTTATAAAGCAACTTTGCAACTCAAATACATATTTTAAAAGCTCTACACATAGTGCAGATGCTCTGATCAAGTGGAAGCAACAAACAAGCAAATAAATATACAAACTTGACAACATAGCTGAGTTTTAGTAGTATATACATTAAATGTAGACTCACAACAATGTTACAAAGATATTTGCAGAGTGGTATGATTAAGCATGTTAAATTTTTAGCATACATGATATATTGTGCATTTACAGAAGAAACAATAAAACCATTCCTGATCCCCATATTTCAATATTATGTCTAAAAGGAAAATAATTTTATGCTTTCTCCTTCTGAGCACATGACTGCTCGTCTGAAAGTCTCAAGTTAGGGTGATGGGCTCGTCTTGAGTCCGTCCAGTTCTGGCGGGTAATTGACCTATGGTTAGGCAAAGTAAAAGGCGTCCGAGCATAGAATGGACAAAACTATTTCTATAAATGCTGAGATGACAGAAACAGGTGAACTCTACTTCATTTGCCCTATTGACCACCAGATTTGAAATGCACTTATTCCTCTGAATGTTATTATCAGTCTGTGTTGCTTTCATTCTTAAACCATTTATAATTATAAAATTAAACTGCTTACCTAGCTTTTACATGACCCTAACACAAGCAGAAACTTAACACCAAACTAAATCCTATCCCCAACTCTAGTTCTCCCTCTTGATAAGCCTAAAATGAATACTTTTTTATTGCACAGTAATTTATGCAGTTTTTTTTTTAATATAATAGGCTTGAGGGACTATGAATGTGCTTTGCATATCGACCCTAACAATACTGATGTGGCAGTGGATGCTGAGAGAATAAGGAAAATTATACAATCTACAGATGATATTCATAGGCCATGAATATGACACGCAATATTGATAAGCCATGCAATTTAATTTGAAAATAAAAACTATTTCTCTTACAAGTGCCATTTAATTTTACAAGAAACAGTATTTTTTAAATTAATGCCCTTTTCTAATTTTGTGTGTGATACAGCTTACCTCAATTTTTAATATCTGGGTTATACTTTCTTTGATTAAATATAATTTAAATGCTGTTTGCATTTGTAAATATAAGGTTGATGTGCACTTCTAGACTGCAGCTCTAAAAAGCACTTGATTTTAACAAAGATAGGTTTTTTTACAGGCTTTTATTTAACTTGTTTCCTCTGTCATCAGTCTGTTGTCATATAGATAAAAATACTCTAGTGAAATTTTAGGCATTTATAACTAAAAGATTTGTTTCAAAGTTGGAAAGTCGGTCAAAGCATTAAGACAATGCAATCTGACATTAAATTTGACTTAATTGAATGCCTAATAATTTTTTATGAATTAATTAAAATTTGTCAAAATTAGTAGACAGTCTTGTCCAACTATTCCACGCTATTATATGCGCTTTATCATGTTCATTAGCCTTGCGATAGTTTTTAGTCATGCAACTCTATGGGAAATTTTAAAAAATTTAAAATGATTTTCTTTAAATACATAATAATACACTACTATTTAAAGAACTATAAAGTAAAGTGTGGGTCTCTTCCTAAATATTAGTAAAGGTATCCAATAGATAATAAAGTAACCCACTCTTTTTTTATAGTTATTTAAATAGTTTATTATATATTAAAAGAAAATTATTTGTTTTCTACTTTTTAGTGCATTATTACAAAGTTTGTTATTAAAACGTTTTTTATGAATTTTTTTTGTCATAATAACTTAATAACTGAATTAAAAGTCATCATTTGCAAAACAGAAATTAGCAAGATAATTAGTAAAAGTAATGGGCAGCTCAGAAAATCCTCCACATGTTATCAAATGAAAACTTATCAACACTTTCTGCAGCTTGATTGAGATATGTTTCTATCATGTTTGTTATCCCATGAAAGGACCTGATAGCCTAATACAGTTAGTAATTAGCTTTTTAGTTTTCAGTTCTGATGACCTTACAACCTGACACATTTTAAAAATCAAATTGACAATAATTGATAATAAATTGAAAGCTTTGAACATTTAAGTAAAAATAAACTTTTGTGTTGGTCGTCGGGGAGCATGGCCACTTGGTGGTAGCCGCTAGCTATATCTTTTGTGGAGAAAAAAATTTGCATCAACGCATTCATCAATCATCGACGAGCGGCAAGAAGAATGCATTTTTTCTTGTGATAGTACTCAGTTTTCTGTAGTCCTCTGACTTTTTCTTGTGATAGTATTCAGTTTTCTGTAGTCCTCTGACTTTTTCTTGTGATAGTATTTAGTTTTCTGTAGTCCTCTGACTTTTTCTTGTGATAGTATTCAGTTTTCTGTAGTCCTCTGACTTTTTCTTGTGATAGTATTCAGTTTTCTGTAGTCGTCTGACTTTTTCTTGTGATAGTATTTAGTTTTCTGTAGTCCTCTGACTTTTTCTTGTGATAGTATTCAGTTTTCTGTAGTCCTCTGACTTTTCTTGTGATAGTACTCAGTTTTCTGTAGTCCTCTGACTTTTTCTTGTGATAGTATTCAGTTTTCTGTAGTCCTCTGACTTTTTCTTGTGATAGTATTTAGTTTTCTGTAGTCCTCTGACTTTTCTTGTGATAGTACTCAGTTTTCTGTAGTCCTCTGACTTTTTCATGTGATAGTATTCAGGTTTCGGCAGTCCCCTGACTTTTTCTTCACAGCCACAATAGGTGCCGCATATAAGCGTTTAATCTCGTCTTCCTATGCGTCCATCTCACCTCTCTGGTCAAGCTCGTGCCCCTATCATACCATTCGTTCAGCTTCCAGTCCCTACTCGTTATTTTCATCTGTCTGTCTGTCTGTCTGTCTACAGGTTCAATACTACCACACTATATTTCTTCATGAATTACCACAGTTCAGATAATCAGGTGAATCTCAACAGACCTCCACTTTCACAGGTCCACAAACTATATCACTTCGTATCTTAATCTACTAACACGTCTCTGCGTTCAACCCATTCTATATCTCTCGGCCTTTCTGCCTCCAATGGTTTAATCTTCTCTATTCACATCTTCTGTCTGTAACATTTTCTGTCTCGCTCCCTACCCAAAAGTATCGCACAGTCACCCACAGATGCACGTCCGGTGTTGTGTATTTCATTTGGATTGTGTGACGTGTTACTGTGTGTAATTATGTGTGCATGTATATTATATATATATATATATATATATATATATATATATATATATATATATATATATATATATATATATACAGGGGCGGAACTACAGTGCCGCCAGACCCCGCAATGCGGGGGGGGGGGGGGGGGGGGGCACGTCATTTAGTGGCCCACCGCCGACCATAATAATTTTTTATATTTAATTTTTTAAAAATTTTCTTGCATTTTTGACTTGATGGTTGTTTTGTAAAAAAAGATCCCCGTAGCTGCGGTTGGATTATCTTAATTCTATAGACACCACCCCACGCTCTTGTATATTATTTCCCCCCCTTGTTTTTAAAGCACTGTGAAAGCCGAGTCCTCTTTCTCCTATAATAAAACGTATCAAAGACAACCAAACGTTCAAACCACTTTCATGACTTATTTCCCTTCTTTAAATTGTCAATGGGGGTGCTCATACGATCCTTTTAATAGATGTGTACTAATCAAATTAAAAAACAATTACTTCTTATTATTATTTTTTATAAAGTACTTACTAAAGAATGACATTGTATAAAAAGGAAATGTATTTAAAATTAATTATATAAATACGAAAAAAATAAAAATAAACATAACACGACACACCATTACTTATACAAAGCTTTCACGGTTTATATACTTTTGACCGACGTTGAATAGGTCTTATAGCAAAAATAAAATAAAACTGATTTTCCAAATAGACTAATGCGCTTACACACATGACAAGTTGATGTAATTTGTTTTCATTGAAAAAAAAAACTTTTTTTTCAAAACCCGAAGAGGCCAACAATGAGTATCCTATGTTCGTATTTTGCGTTTGTATATATATATATATATATATATATATATATATATATATATATATATATATATATATATATATATATATATATATACACATACACATATATATATATATATATATATATATATATATATATATATATATATATATATATATATATATATATATATATATATATATGTATATGTATATGTATGTATGTATGTATATATATATATATATATATATATATATATATATATATATATATATATATATATATATATATAATACATGCTATATAGTGGAAAAAACCAGGCGCCGCGCGGATGGTTGGCCTTAGGCCCCGCGTATTCCTTAACTGTTTCAGAATTAATTTTTTTTTCGACATAAGAATAAGACAGAACATCCAGACTATTTTCTCCATTTCGCCGGGGGGGGGGGGTCTGTCTGTCTCTGTCTATAAAGCAATATCGGTCTGTCTGGCTGTTTGTCTTTTATGCATAACTACACCTTTCATCAGATCGCCACGAAACTTTGGAAAGTTGTTGAGAATAAGTGGGAGCCTTCTGCGGGGAAAATTTTCAATTCCGCATGGGCGGCGCCCCGGCAGAGTACGATTTTGGGCCCGGGGCTTTTTTTCCGTGAACGCTATGACACATACTTTTGTTTTAAACTGTGCGATAGACCAGTTGCGTAGGTGAACGGAAAAAAAGTCACAGGAAAAAAAAAACAGAAAAAAAAACACAGAAAAAAGTCACAGTTTTTGCTAGGAAAAAAAGTCACAGAAAAAAGTCACAGTGGAAAAATTTTATCGGAAAAAAGTCACAGAAATAAAGTCACAGAAAAAAGTCACACAAATGTTTTTAGAAATATTTTGATTTATTTGTTAAGAATTGTCAAATTTTGTATGTTAATTGTTGTGGGTTGTATTTTTTAATAGAATACATTATTTATAGAAGTTAAAAGCATGATGGTTTATAACAATTGTAAGTGAAAATACTCTAAGATAATTTACACAACAATCTCAACTTGTGTTACGCATTTAGTTAAATACACGGTAGAAAAGTTAATTATAAAAGAAATTAGGCAAATTTTGCCGTAGGATATTCTCTGGTCGGCATCTCCTCAGTAGGCATTGTCCGAACATATTTTGTGTTGTTGACGTTTTGCGTCAATGTCAGCCTTTGAACCTTGTCGGCTTTCTGTTTTGATCCTAAGTTTTGTTGTGTAATGAGCGTGATAAATGTGGGCAGTAAAGATGGTTGAACTAAACATAACTATTGTTGCCATGAGTTGAGGGTAGCAAGTCAGATGAACTTACCATTTCACGGTAATTTAATGTTGGTATTTAAAAAAAAACACGATGAAAATAGTGGACTTTGGAGCATTATATTAAATGCTACTAATCTTAAGTTTAACATAATTATAATCTACATACTTCATACTAAATATTTTTAAATGAATTATAATAATTACTATTCGTATACAGCCTACACACATTACATTGCATTTAATTAATCCTAAGTTAATTTGCACTCTCTAAATATTTAATACACAAAAGTATTAACAAATATCATGCAAATATATATTTGTGACTTTTTACCTGTGACTTTTTTCCTGTGACTTTTTTTCCTGTGACTTTTTTCCCTACAATCGTGGCGTAGAGAGGTCGGGTGTCACCCGGTGCGGCACCTAATGGTGTCACTCTCCCCCCCCGTAAGAATATATATATATATATATATATATATATATATATATATATATATATATATATATATATATATATATATATATATATATATATATATATATATATAATTTTTTACATTAACATACAGGTTATTACATTTTTCCTCATGCATATATATTGCAACGTTGAATTGATGTAACTCACCCCCCTTCCCCGTCACTCCCACGGTGATTGCTTTAAACTATGCTCAGATAATACTAAAGACTTGTATCTATATTCGGTTATAAATACAGCTGGATGTTGCATGTTTTCTTTATCATTAGCAGGTTTACGACGTGGTGTACCCTCGCCCCCCCCCCCCCCACTCCACCCGTGTCGGGATTCGTCCACTTTGCTCTTAAAAGACTATTTAATCCACTCTAATTAATCATTTAATTAAGTGAAATAATCATTTTTCTGTATATAATTTGCTATTTTTCGATTTGGTGTCACCCCCCCCCACTAAATGGTGTCACCCGGTGCTGTCCGCACCCCCAGCCCCTCCCCTCGCTATGCCTCTGCGATAGACTATGGATAAGATGGGGCGTTATATTTGTTTGCTAAACTGAATCAGGCGCGACCGCCGACCCTCTAGTTGGGTGCGATTTGGCGCCCAGGACTATCCCTTGATCACCAATGCTCATACGTTAGATTTAAGGTGCCAGGGGCCGTACGCAGCGCTTTCATTCGGTAGTGTAGTTAAACCCGTGCCCCGATGAATATGATCCAAGCGCAGGCATTGTTTACACTTCAATGACTCAATTCATTTTTGCAACGCTGATGTATTATGACACTAGAAAACTTCGTTATTTAAATTACCCCACCCTTCGGCCCCTCATTTTTAAATGCGTACTATTGACCACCTCATTAAAAATATTTTGGTGTTTTTACTCCCCTCGCTGCAGCATTTTAATTTGGAGTTATAAGCAAACTCTGAAAGGTTTAGTCGTGTAAATCCACTCACAACACTTGGTGGCTACACACTACACTGATTAGTGCCCAGGATTTTAACTTCAAAACAGCGTGCGCATTTCATAGTTTTTTGTGCTTTTAA